TAGGACCGAGGGGTCGCAGAAATTATTTGTTCCTGAAATGAAGCATCTTTAATTACAGTGCTTTTGAAGTGTTGACCTTCCAAGATCTTTTTCATATATTTTAAGGATAACTCGTACGGCTTCAGGAGATCTGTTACAAGTGTTTTCTTACACGTAGGATTTTGAGTCGCTTCGGAAATAAAGTGAATCGTGAGAATACAAAACTTAGTCAATTTTCGACAAGTTTGCATTATCCGTTGAATGTATTGGCTTGGCGTGAATGTTGTATTCAGCCGCATAGCCAAGGACGTAGTTGGTAGATGATTAGACCACGTCACTTTGTGCTATCAATAAGGTCGAGTCGGTTTGTGAACTTTGACTCAGCATTGAAATGAAGTGTGATTAGACAAGGGTCAAGTAGCGTTTGTCGAGATTGATATGCCAAGTATGCCCGTGGTCGTAGAAAACGTTTTTCCATTTTAGGTTCGATTTATACGATGTTAGTTTCGTATAATCTTTTCTTTGTTCGTATGGAAGTTGTTTCTTTTTACCCAAGGGAGACAGAGCCTAAGAAGCTCGATGTAGAGCCCGTGTGGAGTCGTTTGCGGGGTAGTTTCATTCTCGGATGTAATCAAGAGGAATGAGAGCGGATGCTCGTGAACCGAAGGGCTAAAGAATGAGATCTTTCAGATCGTGGTGCGAGGAAACAAAGTTAGATTGGTCGTCCAGCGTCAGATCGCATGGCTTTGCTATATGGAGTGTACTTTTCGCAAAACCTGTTACGTTTACTTTTGAAAGTTACTTCGTATGTCAAGGTCTTCGACTATACGAAGGATTTCTTGCCTAAGTAACTTGACGCGACGTATGGAGATGTCAAAATAACGGTGCTTCCGCAAATTTTTGTGAAACCTTTCTGTTTTGTTTCTGATTCTTCGGTGATAGTTTCTTGGAGTCACTCACAGAGTTTTAGCGAAGGTTATTTCATCGAGATCTAGTCGCAAAAATTTTTAGTGGGTTTCTTCAGCGGAATAGGATCACTTGACCTGAAATAGGATCAGTCGGCGAGCATGAAGGACGTGTTCCCTATTGCTGCTTCTTGTGTTCTCGATTTTTCTTTTGCCACAAATGTTCTTGATATTATTCCGTGACTCACTTGGTTTGACGGAAAATGAGAATAATGCTTTGATGCATAAAGATTTCTCGTACATTTTTTTTGATTCTTAAACGAAACTTGTTTTATCAAGTTGGAAAAGATCTTTATGACTTCGGCAAATCATTGAGTTTCACTCTGAAGTTTGGCAGAGGTTTTCTAAGCGCATGATTGCGATGAGAGATGCAGTATAGTCCTTGAGATTATTTCCCTGAGGATTTGGATCAGTCTTTAGTGTTTCGACGGATCTTAGATTGTCGTTTACTTTTGGGATTATTTTGACAAGGCATCGTATTGTCCGAATATTTTCCGCCTATTTTTGCAAGAGTTTGCTTTATAGAAAGCGTTTTCTGGATGCGAGGAAAAATGTTTTTGAAATATGGGAGTATACGAGTATAGTATACGCACCTACTCCTTCCTCTTTTTTTTTTTAGCTGTTCCAACTACATTCTCTGTTTCGAAGCGAAGTGACAACGGTTGAAAAACCCTCTAGAAACGGAGGACGAGGGTTGGTCTCTTCAGAAAATAAAAGCAAATGAATAAAATAGAAACTCCTAAGAGATCATACGCATTTGAATCACGATACCTCTCCAACCCCATTTGGTCACAAAAAGAGGAATGCAGTCCTCCTCCACCAATGCACTGTCGATACGAACATAGAAGAAATTGTTCTTCCAACAAGAGTAGGCCGACGAGGAATCGGTGACTATTACCCTGTGAGGGGATAATTTAATCCTTTTTGTTTTCCCCTCGGGTTTCAGTAAACCCTCGAGGGGATCAACGCTAAGAACCATTCCTTGCTTGTAACTCAACGTCAAAAGCCCGATGAGTTGCTGCTGCCGCACGGGGTCATTGGACTTATCGAGAGCCCATAACGATGAAGGTATCGAACGATGATCTCCGGAATCGGAAACCACAAATGAAATTGCATCCAAAACGTGTCGTAGCACGTGAAAAAGCCACCGGGTGCATCTTTTTCACCCTCTTCAGCTAATGGAAGGGAAACTCTACCGCATCCGGAACTTGTCAAAACTCCCGAATAGAGTCGAAACCATTGGGGCAGACCAAACTCGGGCATCCGGCAATACGGTTAGCACGAAATGGAGGCGGAACCCAGGTTCCGAGTTTGGTGGGCCTCGTTTTGCCTCCAGCCGCCCAATATGCTTCGACGTCTTTCGAATCGACCAATGGTAGCGAAAATTCTTCCTTCGGAACTACAACATAAGATTGCGAGTTTGCTCCTTCGGAACCACAACAATCACAACTAGTTTCAGAACGAGTTCTCCTCTTACGGAAACATGCTTAGTAAAAGAAAGAAAGATTCAAAGAGAAAGGAGAAGACAAAATTTCTTCAACCTTAGAAAATTTATGTGGAAATAAGTGAGTAAATAATTTGAAAATTTACTCCACATACTTACAAGAAAAGTTTTACTATTCACCTTTGGACTTTTGGCCATTAGAGTTCCGCCTAATTTTACCAAACTTGCCAAACAAGTTCACACCGCTCGCAAGAACTCTACGATTCTTACGAACTGGGGGGCTAACTGTTGGGGTCTAAATCGGTACGACGGAATCAATGACCAAAACTTTCTGCAAAAATAAAAATATGTTTTATAAAACACGAGAAGTTGTTATATAAATTTCTAAGGACTTTCCGGACAAAGGAAATCCGCGCGGAACTTTGAAATTGTCATCTCGGAAAAACAAACGAAACAATCTTCGATTACACGATTGCCCAAGTTAAGCGAAAAACCTCAAAAGCCGAATCAGCCAGACTACGAGCAGGTTCGACCACACCAGTTCAATGTGCGACTAGCCGAACCAGCCGGTTCAGCTCGCCGCACGGTGAAATGGTCCGTCCCGGACCAGCTCGCCGCACAGCGAATTGGTTCGTCCCAGACCAGCTCGCCGTACGGCGAGGTGGTGGTCAGGAACCAGCTGGCCGTAGGGCGAGCTGATCACCTCAAATCAGCTCCCCGTACGTGGAGCTGACCGTCCCGAGCCTCGCTCTCCCGCATCCTTAATGCGAGGAATACGTCATTCGATTCGATCGTGCTCTGAACCATGGTGGAAACGTCTCTCGTTTCATCTCGATCCGTCTTACAATTCGAGTTTTACGACAAAAATCGTAAAAATCTTCTTTTCTCGTAAGATTTCAGGAATATAGTATAAAATGGCAACGATTAAACGGAACATCGTATATTGTCAAACTATATGGTTAACTCAAGAAGTCTTATAGAAACGGAATCGTATCAGGAAACGATCTCGTCTAAAATCGTAAAATGGTGTTTATCGCAAAACGGCTCGGAACGTCCTAAAACGCGATAAAAACCTATCCATGGTTTTAGACGAAGTACAGCCCAAAGATACAATGATGGTTTGACTATTTACTCGCAGAAAGAAGATAAATGTCAAGTTTGAAGATAAATTTCAAGTTTGAAGATAAATGTCAAGTTTGAAGATAAATGTCAAATTTGAATATAAATAGAAGATTTCCGAAGAAAAATGGTAAGATCGAGATAAATGGAAGATTTCCGATAGACTCGAATCTTGGCGAAAAGGAAGGACTAAACCGCCAAAAGAGGGAGTATATAAGCAGAAGGCCAAGGACAGAAGAAGTAGGACATTTTTCAGACCTCTCACCACCAAAACTTAGCACTTACGAATATTTCCGTTTGTGTTATCGAGCTGCGTCTCAACTAGGGTTTAGACTTAGGTTGCTAGAACTAGGAAACTCGCCGTCAGCTCTTGTAGCCAAGGCTTTACCTCGTTGTACCACTCTTAAGCATAACGGGAATAAGATCCTTCTTGCTCTCAATCTCTTTTTTAATATCTTTTACTTATTCTCGTCATTTACTTGATTTCTTGTGTGCGGTTCCGCAGGTAGCCGAGTCCTCTGGGAAATTAAAGTTTTCCCTAAGTTCCTTAATTTACGAAAATCGATAGGGGTGAATTTTGGTTCCCACAATTCCTTTCAGTATGGTGAATGATAGTCCTCAGTTCACATCTTGGTTAGAAGATAACCGAGTTGTTTCCAACCTAAAGGCGAAGGAAAAGAACTGATTCTGTGAGTATCACCAGATGACAGGACACTCAAACAAAAATTGCAGGATACTCCAGAGGCTCTTCTATAGCGAATACCAAGAGGCAGCATGACCACTGAACCACGAGCGCAAGACCTTGTCACAGATTTATCCGCACATTCTCGAGCCCGAGTCGGTAAGAGCGTCACATGGAAGCCTAGAATCAACAGAAGGCTCTAAACCATAGAAGTAAGAATTAATTTCAAAAACCTATCGGAGTGTTCGCTCGTTAGTGGTATGTCCTTTCACAACGTTTCAAATAAAAACACTTGTAATCTCAAACTCTGCTCGAACTTTGACAATGAACTCTAACAACAAAAATAACAAGGGGGATTTATTCTCCAAGGTCGATCTAGTCACCACGCTCGCCTCAGGCGAGAAATTTCTCATGAACAGTAGGGGTATCATGACAGGCTACCTATGAACAGGCGTTGGAAACACCCTTTTGGTAATTAGAAGCTCTGAGGAAAATGTCTTCTAATATAAACAAGATTTCAGACCAACTTTTCCCTTAATCATCTCTTAAAATTAATCTTGAACACTAACTTTCTTAACCTAATTTACGAACGATAATGAACAATTGAAGCCCAAATAGGTCCATTCAAAGTTAAAAATTTATTAAATACATAAATTTCAAGACCTCAAGAGTACAAATTCAAGGAGAAAAACAATAAACTCGAAACCATAACTAGTAGTATTGGTCAAAATGAGAAATTTTTTTTTTTTTTTTTGGAAACAAAAAAGACATAAAAAGACGCAAGAAATATAGAAAAACAATAAGAAATTATTCAAATGCACTGAAAATCCGTTGGAAGGCCACAATGGTTGAGTGTGAAGCTGACTGCTACTGGAATGTTCAGGTTAACAAAGTTTCCGACATTAGCCCGAACTGCACTACAAAGACATGCGGCAGCGTTTGCGTCCACGATACCACTGAGAAGGGGACAACAAGGAGAAGATCCTGCCGGCAGAGAAACATCAACCACTCCATTCAACAAACTTGCACATACATTAA